CAGGAGCCCTCCCACAGCTCCACGGACGCTGCCTTTCCCTCCGCAGCTCGGCCTTCGCTTTAATGGCACCAGGTTACTTTACTCCACGGGTCGGGCTGGTTCCACTAGCTTCCTGCCCCCTCAACGGGTCACAGTGCTCGCTCTCATCTCTGTGGACAGGGTGAACGTGTGGTCAGAATCACAGTCTTTAATGGAACTCCCCCCCCCCCCCCACACTCATACATTCACTCACACACACTCACACACACACTAACTCACACTCACACTCATACATTCACTCACACACACTCACACACACACTAACTCACACTCACACTCATACATTCACTCACACACACTCACACACACACTAACTCACACTCACACTCATACATTCACACACACTCACACACTCACACACTCACACACACACTCACACACACACATTCACACACTCACACTCACACTCATACATTCACTCACACACACTCACACACACACTAACTCACACTCACACTCATACATTCACACACACTCACACACTCACACACTCGCACACACACTCACACACACATTCACACACTCACACACACACACACACTCTCACACACACACACACACACCACTTAGGCTGTTTTTCAAGTGATTGAGTCTTTATATAAATCTGTTTATTGATTTCAGAGAGGAAGGGAGAGGGAGAGAGAGACAGAAACATCAATGATGAGAGAGGATCATGGATGGGCTGCCTCCTGCACGCCCCCCACTGGGGATGGAGCCCACAACCCAGGCCTGTGCCCTTGCCTGGAACTGAACCATGACCTCCTGGTTCACAGGTCAACGCTCAACCACGGAGCCACACCAGCCGGGCAAGTGCTTGAGTCTTGACGCATGTTTACCCAGCACGGAGGCCAGAGGGAGTGGTCCAGGGCTGTGGGCTTCATGGCTCAGGGACCGAAGCTTCCAGGATCCTCCTGCTTTGCTGTCCTCCCTCGTGGTCACAAGGTGGCTGCCATGGCCCAGACCATCACGTCTTCATGGAAATGTTGTCCAAAGCAGAGAGCGAGGTTGGGGGAGGGTGGCCAGGGGGGGCCAGGCCTTTCCTCTTTAGCAGGAGTGTTAACGTAAAAAGCCATGGAAACCTGTGAAGAATGTTTGCGAGTTTATTTGAGCCAAACTGTCGACATCTGCCGGGAAGCAGAACCTCAACGAATTGAGATAGTGCTCCGGAGAATGGCGGGTTACATCTGTATTTATACATTTGCAGTCAAAGGAGGGACGTAGGTGGGTTACGTGAAATTTATTGGTGATAGATTAAGGAGGAGGGAAACCCCTGGGATTGGATAAAAAGTAAAATGATGGACACACACTTAGGTGGGTGCAGGGACAATTAACATGATAATGAAGGAATTTGTGGTCTCTGTCCTGGCGCCCAGGGCATTTAGTTGTGCCCTGAGGGGTCCAGAAAAAGGGAAGTTACAAGTTACCCTGACATTTCACAGGGATGTTATCTTAGATGCAAAAAGACAGGCTCAGTTAAGGTAAAGGTTGACCTTGTCAGGGAAGATACCGGCCTAGGAGGTGACTGCCCCCCATCACTGCTTTAAAGTTTAATTTCAGACCATCCTTGGTGGTGACTTTAGGTCTCTGAGTTTGCAAAGCCCCTGCAGGCCTCCCCTGAGCTTGTCAGGTCAGCATGTGGCCCCTTCCGTCCACAGGAGGAAACTCCTTCTGAGACTCAATTGCAAAAGCCTCCTGTCATGTCGTCGTTAGAACTGGGTCACGTGCCCCCTGGAGAGCCCCCCGGGGTGAAGAACAGGGTGTGCTGGGCCTGGTGGTTGTCCTCTAACCAAGGTGGTGGGAGGGGTTAGGAGAGGCCTCGGGCAGCCAGCACTACCTCCTACCCCTTCGAGCAGGAACTCAACGTCCAGGTCAAGACTGAACTGACCTTCACGTTACCCAGCTCAGCGCAAGGACAGTCGTTTTTCGTGTTGAGGTGTCCCTGTGAAGGCTAGAAGCTTGGTGGTTGATGTTGCCGTGGTGACCAACGCAGCGTGGTCTCAGGGTGTTCAGGACGCGGGTTCGACGGTGAGCACGGGACCAGCACGCGAGGCCTGGACAGAGGCTGAGACTGCGAGCGGAGGATGTTCTTCCTCAGCTGACGTGCTGTGTGCACCACGGCACGGAACTCGCGTCTGGGTTTACGGGTCCACATGTCGCCACGGAGACCAGGGTCGCACTGTACACGCAGAGTCCGAAGGGAGTCGTGTGTAATAATTGGCAGGTCGCCGGCGTAATAATTCCTACAGTAACGGCCTCTGATCTTTCCCATTCGCATGACAGTTCTGCTGGGATCGGAGAAGGCTTTACGCTGTGGCATCCGCAGCTTTTGGGGACACAGAGGTGACGAAGGAAGTCCTTGCTTCGCGGGGCTCATGTTCCAGTAGGTGGGTGAGTGGTGGAGCCGGGCAGCTAAAGAGCCACCGCAGATGGCGATTTAAGAAAAATTGATAAATAATAATTATTTATTATTATTTTTTAAA